AAAAATGAACAAAATATTTGTAATTTTTCCTTACGCAAATAACACACCTAAAATTATAATAAAAAACATTCATTAAATTAATCAAAACCTAGAAAATCTTAAAGGAATCAATATAAATAAAAATTTTATCATACAGAAGAAAATGTTAAAATAAAATCATTACCATGAACCCGTACTATTATAATTAAAATTGAAAGACCTAAAACCCCTTTACATACTCTAATTGTTAAAAAAAATATTGAAAAAAAAATTCATAATTCATTATTATTAAATATATAAATAGCTCCCCTACCAATAATAAAAGTTACAAATGGGATTTACGGATTTGTAATTGGAACTCTGAAAAGGAATAAAGGATTTGTGCATGAGTAATATACAGGATGTTTATTAATTGAGTGCCGATACTTAAGGGTGTGAATCCTTAGGTGATTTTAAGAAGAAAAGTTAATATCAACATATGTCGTAACTCACTTAATTTTTGAGCTACAGTTTTAATAAAAAAATTACTTTTTTATCATAATTTTTTTATCACTCCAGATATTTCTATGAAATTTTGTACACACGTTTTAATAATTAAGGAGCATTTTTTGACGTATAAGATTTTTTTAAATTTTTACCAGTGACGTCCGTACGGGGTTTGAACTGTATATTTTTGAAGAAAAAAATGGTACGCCACTGCTTTTTCTGAAAACCAAAATTATTTTTGAAATCATCATTTATTTTGGAGCAAACTTGGTTCATAGACTTACTTTCGTACGATGCACTGTGTTAGCGTAAAAAAATAAAAACCAAATTTTTTTTTTCTTAAGCTGCTTTCGATTTTTTGTTGAAATTTGGTAGGCACCCACCATGCGTGAAAACACTTATTTTGGGGCAAAAATTAATTTTCTACTTCCACCAGTGACGGCCTCGTAGGCATCATATTGAATGTTTGGATAGAAAAAAAATCGTACACCTCTGATTTTTTTAAATTCTAGGTATTTTAAAAATCGGGATTTATTTATAGTAAAATGAAAATTCAAAATCTTGAATCTAAAACGAAATTACAAGAGAATACAAACAAAATAAAAAACACAAATTATTTACAGTAATTGTTGGAAGTGTCCTCCACCCACACGTATGCAAGCATCTACTCTTCTTCGCATAGACTGATGCACATTTTCAATGATTCCTGGGGTGTTTCTTATGGTTTGGCAGCAGACTGTTATACGATTTCGTAACTCTTCTTCGGTTTGAATCGGCACTGCGTACACTAAGCTTTTCAGATGCCCCCAGAAAAAAAGTCTTAACTATTAAGGTCGGGAGATCTAGGCGGCCATGACTGCGTTCCTCCGCGACCTATCCACAGATTGCGATAGGTGTGATTTAAAAATTCACGCACTCGTAAGCTAAAATGTGGAGGCGCACCATCGTGCATTAGCCACATCTGGTTTCTTAATAAAAGAGGAAGGTCTTCAAGCATTGGCGGCAGATCATCTTCAAGGAAGTGTAAATATGATTGTCCATCAAGTCTTCTTGGGAGAAAAAATGGGCCTATCAAATAATCATCAATAATGCCAGCCCAAACATTTAATGAGAACTGTTTGACTCAACAATTGCATAAGGGTTTTCATCCGCCCATAAATGGTTATTATGGAAATTTATTATTGAGTTTCGAGAAAAATTAGCTTCATCGGTAAAAAGAATGTGCCTGTCAAATAATGGATTTTCCAGCAGGTTTTGAAGAAACCACTCACAGAAATTAATGCGCAACGGGAAATCTCTAGGGAGTAATGCCTGGACTCTTTGAATGTGAAACATTAAATGTTGACGCGATTCTCCTCGTGCTAGTTTCGGGATTCTCCTCAATTTCATGTAAAATTACTTCTTCAAGTTCCGGTGTTCTTACTGTTTGATGGACTCCTTTAGCCCTGTGGTCTACTTTTAAAGTTCCGGTCTCGTGAAGACGTCTATGAATCCTAGAAAATGTTCTCGGATCGGGTAGTACGCGATTTGGATACCGCTCTTGGTATATCCGTCTGGCTTCGTATGCATTTCCGTCTGCAAGCCCATAACTAAAATGCATGTCAGCTAATTCACTGTTCATTTTTTTTTCAGATTTTAACTCTTACTCTAATAATAATTATTTAATAATGTAAAATCAATGTCAACTTTATTGTCTTTATAAAAAGAAACGTCAAAAATGATGACGCTTTACCCAGCCTACTGGGTATGTTTATTTCATTTGCTTTAAGAGGGCAATAATGCGCTTACCATTTTTTTCTATTCAAAACGTAGAAAATTAATTTTTGTCCCAAAAAAATGTGTCCACGCATGGTGGGTGCCTACCAGATTTCAACAAAATATCAAAAGCAGTAGGTATCAATGAATTTAAGGAAAAATTTTAACCAACCACTACAATTGTTTTTATTTTTTTACGCGAAAACGGTGCATCGTACGAAAGTAAGTCTATGAACCAAGTTTGCTCCAAAATAAATGATGATTTCAAAAATAATTTTGGTTTTCAGAAAAAGCAGTGGCGTACCATTTTTTTCTTCAAAAATATTCAGTTCAAACCCCGTACGGACGTCACTGGTAAAAATTTAAAAAAATGCTCCTTAATTATTAAAACGTGTGTACAAAATTTCATAGAAATATCTGAAGTGATAAAAAAATTATGATAAAAAAGTAATTTTTTTCTTAAAACTGTAACACCCTGTAGCTCAAAAATTAAGTTAGTTACGACATATGTTGATATTAACTTTTCTTCTTAAAATCACCTAAGGATTCACACCCTTAAGTATCGGCACTCAATTAATAAACACCCTGATCATTAATAACAGGAAAGGTCTATTAGCATGTTTTTAATTTTAATTTTTATAAAAATCGAATGACAGAAACTACTGTAATAAAAAACAATATTTTATTACATAAATTGTATGCACGACAAGATAAAATATTATTTTCAATTTCAATATAATATTTTTCTCAGTGTAAAGCATTTATTACGCTCCATTAATTTTTTTTCTCGGTATAGTTTACCGGCAATCCGTCTCGTAATTGAAATTGAAGGTCACAAAAATTACTTTCCGAACTTCAAAGGACCGACAGTTATTGTCGCTTCTCTGTGTTTGTTATTCTCGGACGTTACACTCGACATGTTTCTTAAAATATGGACTGTAAGGCAGACCTTTGAACTAATATTGTAGCCTATTATGGATGGTCATGCGACTACTTGCTTTTGGATATATACTTGATTTTTGGAGAGCATTTTTAGGCATTTGGTTGACGACTTTTGGAGGAATATTACTCTGAATTTTTTTGAACCAAAAATTTTCTAATATGCAATTAAAAAAGGCAACACACCAATTTTATTATACCAATGTATCAACAACTTTTTAAAATATTTATTCCTTAGATTATTTTAAATTTATTTTTTTTTTATTTAAAAATTGTCATGTTTTATCTCAAAAACTTTTAGCAAGGATATCGATGGGCAGTACCAATTTGGGCCCAATATCTCTTAATCCGAAGGGTTTGTAAGCACGTAAAGATAAACCCATTCGGAAGATGGGGCCAAACATCTAAGCATATAGATGAATTAGAGAAAAATAAACAAATAATTTACCTAACCTGTGTGGCCTAGAGCAATCGTGGATTGCTTGGCAAAAAAATTATACAGTCCGTATTTACCCTAGGTCAACTTTTGTATATAAACCCGCTTGTTTCACATTTAATGATTGTTACCTGACTCTGGTCCCAGTTTTGAATTGCCCAAATCGAAATATTTGACATATTTACTAAAAATACAGCCAAAGGACATTTTAGAATTAAAACAAATCAGCTTTTCCAAAAAAATAAGTGAAATGTCAAAAATTTTATATGACAAAATAAATGGGGTTCTTTTTGTGTTTCCTAATAACAGAACTTTGTAAAAAAGACTTTAGGTCTAGATGTTATATTAAATATAATTATTATAGAATGAGCATACGTTAGGAGAACATAATGGACACCGATTTGGCTCTAAATACCTTATATTTAATGAGTCTATGATTCTTTTTTAACCAAGATACAGGGTTATTTAGCAATTATGCGAATTATTATTTATAGCTTATGAAACACAGTAAATTTCACTACATATATTATTCGTCTATTATGGTGCTGAATAGCGTGATGTAAATACGTTTGAAATCTAAGTCCAGACAGAAAAATAACAAAGGACGAGGCACGTATTACATGGAGTTATGACTCACAGTAAAATCTTTACCCTTTTTTTAATATTTTGAAGTTATTTGATTAAAAATTATGTAATATTATGAGGATCGATCATATGTCAATGATATAAGATAATGCCGTTCGAAGAACGCAAATCCGTCATAGTATCCAAGAAAATTATTGCTCATGATTGGAATAGTAATCGACAGTTTTTATAACATGTTCTCGTTTGATAGGTAATTTAATACTATAAAACAACCAATGTATTAATTATTATACAGAATGTTATACTTTTTTATTTGCGTAAAGTCAAAAACAAATTATTTATAGACGTGCAGTTTATTGTACAAAGGTCGATGAGTGTTTTTTGAAATAAGCTGTTGTTTTGAGTGTTTTAAAAATCGCTGATAACTATAATATTATCAGGGTTGGAAAAAACCTGGGTTTTTTAAAAAAGCCCAACCTGATGGATTTTTTGGGTTTTTATGGGGTTTTTCGGAATTTTTTGAGAATTTTCAGTTTTTTATTTAGATATATAGTTCCTGCTCTATCAAAAGTTTTACAAAAATTATGACTTTTATTGCAAAAATAATAAAATAAAATATGCAGAAATTGGTTATTAAAATAGCCAATTTTTTTATGGCTGTAACAACTAACTGATAACTGATTATTCAAGGACATGATCTGCGCACTGAGACCTTGATATGATCTAGTCTAGTATCAGGAGAGATGTTAGATAGTTTTTAAAAAAAATAGAAGAAACCCTGAAAAGTGAGCTCAGTGCTGAAGACGTTAGCTTTACAATGATGCAGGATGGATGGTCCAGTATTAAGAATGACTCTATAATTGTAACTAGTATTCATATTGGTGAACATAGTATATTGATTAATGAAAAAAAAAATGATTTGTATTGTTCTGAAATAGCTAAGGAAAATATTGAATATATTAAAGAAACTTATAATAAAGATATTTTTGCTATATGCATCGATAATGAGACAAAAATGGTTAATATGAAAGATATTTTGAAGGAAACTTATCCAAATTTACTAACATATGGGTGTTCCTCTCATTTAATGAATTTATTAGAAAAAGAGGTTACACCCAAAATCGCTACCAAGCACATCATTGAGATCCACAAATATTTTAGAAATAAACATTTACCACATGGGTGGCTTAAAAAAAGGTCTAATGCCTTAGCTACCCAATGAAACCCGTTCGAAATCACATGAAGCATGTCTTGCATCATTTATAAGCAACTATCACATATATGTTGAAATTAGGACAGAGAAGCAGCAAGAATTTGATAAAAATATTTCCAAAATATTAGATAATGTCGCCATATATAGAGAGGCTCTGCATTTGCAAAAACAACTTGCCGTTATCGTGAAAGCTCTAGCTCTAAGGATTCTGTAAACTTTTCTGATGCAGTAGAAATATGGAAAGATGTCCTCGACCATGATTTGTTACAGCCATATAGACAAGAAATAAAAAAGATATATGTCTTTGCGATTCAACCATTTCACGTTTTTGAAAATATAGGGAAGAAGAGGAAACAGTCGAACAATGGGTTTGCATCGAATCTTTCTGAAGAGTTTCTGGCAGTGATGTTATCGTTCAAGATTAAGGATACAGATATGTTTCCCGCAACACTTTTCAAAGAAGAACTTGTCAAAAAGGTCTCAACAAAAAATGGTGGAAGCTAATATCAATAAAAAATAAAAAAACAAATAAAATACCAGATGAATTTTGTACTTATATGTTATCTTTGTTCTCATGTTCAGATGCAGATATATTGACGAAAATACAGGTTTTACTTCTGATTTTATATTCACCTACTACTTACTTCATGTTATTTATGCTAGTTTTGGTTTTTGTTTAGAAATAAATATATGTATATGACGTTCATTCAACTAAACATTTGCAATTTTTGAAAAAACCCAAAAAAAAAACAATAAAAGTGGGTTTTATCAAATGAAAAAACCCGAAAAACCCACTGGGTTTTGTAACATCGGGAAATTCTACGGCAATCCTGAATATTTTTTAGTTGAATACCTAATTGTTCAGGTTCTTGATATACAGGGTGTCCTGAAATTAGACGCTCATATTTTAACAGTGTATTCTACATCCTAAAATAGGAAGAAAGTTCATATAAACATAGGTCCTGATGGCGTATTTTTTAAAATTTCTTTAGTTACCGGTTTTCCAAAGTAAAAAAAAATAAAATTTTTGATTTCACAGGCCTACTAATTATTGTTTACACTTTCGAATAACTTATCATGAAATTTTCAAATGCTTTTTTCTTGAAAATGGTACGTCCTAGCGAGATGCAACAACAGTAACTTTATTGTAAAACAAACATTGGTTTTCCAAATTTTATAGTCAAAAATGGTAAAAACTGTCAAAAAAAAACTTTTACCCTAAGCCCCCCCTAATTTACCCACCTATGAAGATGATCAAAAACTGGGGTTTAGTCCATTAGATAGAACGTAAAAAGGTTAGCATTTGTACCAAATTTCACTTAGCTATCTTTAAATGTTTGGAAAATATTTACAAAAGAGTGTCATCAGGACTTTACTTTTAACACCCTGTATCTCGAAAAAGAAACGTTTTCGGACCTATGTTTATATGAACTTTTACTCCTATTTTAGGATGTAGATTATGCTGTTTAAATATGACCGTCTAATTTCGGGACACACTGTATTTTGCTTGTAGAGAAAGTTTAATTATTATAATATTTACAAAATGTTCATAACGTTGTTCTGACCAAACAAAACCTTAAAAAAATTATTATTATAAAGTGCAATTAATGCTTTTTAAAAATTCTAGTACGACATAAAAATTATTTGCGACTCCAGACTTATGTCTACTCTAACCACTTAACTGCACATTTTCAGGGAATGCACTGTAGCAAAAGCCTAGCACATCTCGTGCTAAGTTGTGTATTTCATTAGCTCTCTTCGTGATCCAGCAAATTGGAAATCTTAAATAAATTGGAATTGAGATGTGTATGTGTAAGTAAGCGGCTCGAACTAAGTGCACTAGCTAGGGCGATAGTTGGCAGAAGCAAAAGGTGTGGTTTGTTTGAGATGCTCGTTTGTTATACGGATACGCTGATTATACGGAATTGAAATAGAATCAGTTGTCATGCGAGCGATGCCACCGAAAGGTGAAAGAGGACTTTCAAGTTTAAAGGTTACATACCGGTACGTAAACGAGATTGCTAGGAAACCAACTAGGATTATTTGATAAACATAATTTAAATTATATGAGATAGTATATACTACACTATGAAATAAATATTGAACGAAAACTAATTATATTATGCTATAGTAAATCGTAAGAAGTGCTGTGAAATTTGTGTCTTCTCGCTATATTCCTTTTAATTAAGAGAAATGAAAAATAACACTAATCGGATGTTGCAGCACTGTCAGATATTGAAGAAGTAATCAAACAAACTAAATTAAACCTGTTACTGAAAAAATGTCTCAAAAAAATATAAAGTATTGACGGTAAATAAAAAGCAAGCTCCCTATTTTCAGATATTTAACGTAGCTGCGTTCCTCTTCGGCATGCGAGAGCTCTCCAGTTCAGACCTGGACTAAATGTTAGTGGTATAATTAGTAATTAGCTTGGCAACCCATGTTGCTTCATGTTCTAGGAAAGAAAGGAGTGCAGTAATTTAATTTGCAAAACGAAGTATGGGTTCAAGAGATAAATATTTTATTTATACCTCATCCTTTAATGCTTATTTGTAATTAAAATGAAAATTTTAATACATGTTTATTAAAAATATTTTTAGCACTATTATACAAATATTTAGAGAATTCAATATATTTAAATATTTATTTCCGCAAAGCAATAAAACATTTTAAAGATATTCTTAGAAAATTCAATATTACGGTTTCAAAAACAACACAATTTTATGGAAAGTATAATAACTGGATATTTTACTGATCTCGAAATTCCTTTTAAAGCAGAGATATAACACCGTTTCAAAACAACCCTGGCGCCCATCTTGCGGCCTTTATCCGTAATATGTCTAGCCGAAAATGGTTTTAGACAAATCTTTCCCGATTATTCACGAAATATCATTTGCCTAGAATGTTTCCGGAATACCGCTTCGAACATAAGAATCCGGTCCATTCTTTGCCGCCGCTTTCTATATGCACCTCTATGATTCGGCTCGGCACTTTTTATGTATTTCTCATTTTGAAATTTCATTCGTTGCACGCCAACATGGACATACCGGAATTGGCAAAAATCTCGGCAGTCACGTTCCCGTAATACGTTTAAAATAAACCCATAATTTTAAGAAATATAGTATAGAGTCGGTCACGTTCCGGTGTTTCCGAGGTTTTTTTCTACTTTACCATTTGAGTTTCTGCCTCTTTACATAAAAGACAAAGGATGGAAATCGACAAATGACGATCGGAGACCAACTTTGAAAGAACAATATGGTTGTGGAATAAAATATAAAGTTACGTTCTACGGAGTGACTTGATATTCCAATGTCAATATTTTTACAAAATAAGTCTATTTATTAGGACTAATAGTAATAAATCTGAATTACAGGGACAATTTAAAAACTTACAATGGCCATATCTCTAGAAATGAAGATGATAAGAAAATGTTGAAAATCTTCTCGAAGCGAAAATTTAAATCACAAAATACAGAACTCAACGTCGATCAATTCCAAGGCACCAAATACCCCAATAAAAAATAAACAGCAACCTCTTACATTGGAAAGATAGTAGAAAATGCTTTTGAGTGATATAAGTTGTACTCTATGCAGGGTGCTTCAATAGTACATAATAATTAAAAACCTATTTAAAAAGAAGATGGCACGTTAAACAATTTTTACAAGCTGACAGTTGTACTAAAGTTGCTTTCTTATAGTTCTTGGGTTTTTAGGTGTATGTAGATTAAATGAAACTCGTGTGTGTGGTTATAGCTTTCGGCACTGATCATTGCCTTCTTCAGTAGTTTTTATTGGTAATTTTTTTTTCTCTTGTTATTAATTTACGTGAACCTAAAAACCCAAGAACTACAAAAAAAAAAACTATAAATTAAGGTGTAAGAATTTATAAAATAAAGCAGAGACTTCCTACAATAGTAATTATGAATATAAATAGGTACATATAAAAATGAAGTTAAAATATCGATATGTATCTGTATCTGTAACGTGTGGAGGGTGGGTTACCCCCACGGCACTTAGGCCTCATTAGGCCCATTGTGCATCCTCCTAAGATGATAGGCACCTCCTAGCTCGTGAGCCAGCCTGCAGATTTAATGTAGTTGACAACGTCGCCAAGAGGTGCTTCTCTTATATCAGCCGGCGTTAGCCGATACTCGCCGAACATAAATCTTCTAATAAATGAGAGTGTCGAGCAATCGTAAAGGATATGCTCGATAGTCTCCTCTGCAGAGTGCGGATTCTGACAGCCCCATGATATGGAGATGCTTCGGTACTTCACAATGACCAGTGAGAATGCCTGTGACTAGGCGCAGATTCTGTCTAGTCATAGTCAAGTATTTGTTTGCTGCAGTGTTGTCAGAATAACTTAAGAGCTCTCTGGCAACTCTGCTGTTTCTTGTTTTATCTTTTCTTGAATTTCACAAGGGAATGTTCTTTAATTAGGTCTGTCACTACTGATTTTGTCAGGCCAATAGAAGGGCCAGGTCCAAAAAGTATTTGGTTGGCTGCTTTCTTGGTTAGTGAATCAGCAAGACGGTTTCTTTACGATGTGGCGTGACCTTTGATCCATCTTAAGATGACCATGTTGTTGATGGATACTTCGGCCAAAGCTTCGTGACATTCTAGTACTAACCCTGAGTAAATTCGCGGTCTGTTCAGGGTGAGTCTGCTATCTGTATATTCCTTCCAGTGATATTGTTTCTGCTTACTTCTTTTGCTACTATGAGAATCCCTCTTAGCTTTGTTTGAACTACACTGGCACTATTGCTCACAGCCCATTTTATGTTTCGGTTTAGGAATCCACATCCTGAGCCTTGTTTTGTTTTAGAACCAACGGTGTAGATATGAATCGTACCTGCCACTTCTGGCTCTTCTATTTGTTCTATTATAACTTTATATGGCTTATGAAAGATATATTTCGGTGAGATGGAGTCCATCTTCGCTTGAAGCAGTGGGAGCGTATCAAGCACCTCCTGCCAAAAGCGACGTCTCGCCTCACCAGATCCTATATCA